ATGCTTGCTGCTACTCTGAAGAATATCTTCAGGATAAATCATCACAAGCCTCCCATGCACCTTGCAACCCTGCAAGGTTTATGGAAGACTAAAGCACTCCACGATCACAGTGTCTATTTTATTGCTCCCCCTTGAAACACCTAAGATTCATGCCAGCACTTCCATGACTCAGCCATCGTTACAGATCCTGCAACGCCTTAGCAAGTGTCCAATTTTCGCTAATGTGCTACAATCAGGAAAGAAAGACTACTATTCCTATGTGGTTATGACACTGCTTGGTGCTAGTCTGGATACATTGATTGGGTAGGAAAACTCAAGCTTTCCTAGATTACTGAAGAAACATCATTTTCTCGCAAGCGCAACGTCCGCTCGGAGGTTCACACCACTGTGCCATCCTAGATCAAATCAGCAAACGAAGGCGCTTATTTGGCCAGGTGACAGGCTGAAAGAGCTCCTTCTCGATTCTGTCTCAGCAGGTTTTCCCGTGAACACCCTCTATGTCCAAACACTTATCCGTTATCACACGTCGACTATGTGCCTGGTTTCACTTCTAGAATGCTCTCCCGCTCACAACGCAAGGGGCTCGATCTTGTCCCGCTATCAATGCGCATGTGGCTCCGCGAAACTCTGATAATGTGGCGTTCTACCAGATTTTGTGGGCCGAAAGTTGAGGACGCAATCCTCTGTGGTAATGGGCGGAAGCAGTGGATCACTGCCTCTTTCTAATTGGTCTTCTTTCCTACTAAGTCAATAATAATAGTCAAAAAGACGCTTTGGTAGAGAAGGCGCGGTAGACACGCAACAATTGTTAGCTATGTCCATACTAATCACTACGAACTGCACTTCTGGGGAATAATTTTAGCCTTCCTCTTGATGTTCCAGTAACGCGATTATATGGCTCGCTCATGCTTCCAGCGCGAAACCTGGAGAAATATGAAGGTGGCGGAGAGAGAGTAGAGGGGTGGGGGAGGAAGGTAGGAGCCTTTCTCGAACACTTTCAACGTCCCATGGCATGTGAAGAGCTGCACCACTAGTGGAGCTGACAAATGGTACCAACTGGTGAGGCAGTTAGGCGACGGCAGAGGCGGTATTTTGCTTTTTTGCTACTTCCCATCGTCGCGTCGACCCCCAGAAGCATTCCGTAAGCTCATAAGAACTGACAGGTTTTACAATGGTGGCTCAACGAGCTTGCTTCATCGTCCTGGGAGTTCACAGGTTTCACTACAGTGGGACCTGTAAACCGGAACTAGTGAAGCAGCGAAGGTGCAAAATGCCCCCTCGTCGCCGAACTGCGCCCAACTGAATCCCTTGTCAAAGGGTGGGGCAAAATCCCAGTTCTTCTGGCCCTCATTTATATCTTTGCGCACAAATGTACCAATTTTTGCCCGAGACAAAAGAAATGACAAAAGAAACGGAGGAGTATGGCTTGTCCCATTAAGCAGCGAGGAAGGTGTTCACAAACCTTCATGAAACGGCCTGTTAAGCTGGCAGTAGTTAACAAAGTGCTCCTTTCCAAGCTGTTCACCTAAATGAAAGGATCTCTTTTACCCATCACTCTCGTAGATGGGTGGGGCGTGGCTGCGTACATTATTCGAACGAGGCAAACGTGGCGCTTTTGGAGGGATATTTTCTTTTTAGAACAATTCTAATCATACTTTGTCCAGCACAAGACGGGGAGGCAGCTGCCACAGGTAAAAATAGCTCACGGAAAATACATCCTGTGCCAGACCTAAGTGAAATGCGTAGCCACGCCCTGTCGATCTTTGAGATATGAAGTGCACATCATTGTTAAATTGCTTGTGCATAACCAATCACGAGAGCAAAAAAGTCGGAGTGTTTCCAGAAAGCATGGACGAATATGTACGGTTTCTACACAGATTAGAGTTGGCATAAACGCACTTTATGGAATAAAAGCCCTCCATGATGTAGGTTTCTCACGATAAAAAAAAAGTGAACAATTGAAGGATTTCTGACTTCAGATGGGTTTCATACACCGCGCGGCGATATCAAAACCAGCAAATATGCATTGGGAAACCTGCGATCGATCACGAATTAATACATATTTTTGACTTTGGACTCGCTAGACAATATGTAATCTTCCCCGCGCATGGTCGACCAAAACTACGGCGGCCAAGAGCTAGAGCGCGGTTTAGGTAAGTTTAGATACTAGCTTATACACAGACAGCGCAGTTTGGCTTGGTGGGGGCATTTTTACTGGTTTCTCTTGATCGATGTCGACACCTTTGGACAGTTGCAGAATCCTGAATGAAAGCTATGCAATAGCAGGATCTTCCTTCACACTTGATGTTAGCCTACAGGACTTACTAAGCCGAAAAAATGTAGTTTGCCAGAGAGTAACATCAGAAACTATCTGCCCCTCCAAAGCCGAATAGCGCGCCTGCGACATATTAACATTACAGACGGGAGGGGCGTGTGCAGGTGGCGTGGATTGGAGCCCGCAACCTCAGGGTGACCCTCTTTCACAGTTGATGCCCGCAAAAACGCACTCAAGTAATTGGCTGAGAAAGTTGTCCTTTGCCGCACTCAAAGACTTTCAGGTGCCCGTCTGCTGGGATAGCGACAGTGAGCTCTGACGAGCCCAAGAACAAAGCAACGAATATCGCAAGTTAGGACCATTTACAAAACAAAAGAGGAGTTTATGTTCAGAGGGACGCTGCGTTACTGCTCAATCAACGCCCAAGAAAGAGGAGAGCAAGGGAGGCCAGATGATCTATGGAATCTCCTATACATGTTGACGGAGATGAGAGGAAAACTTCCATGGGATAAATTCGAGTAAGTTATGAAAGGTTTCAATTCAGCGGACGGATTGTTCCCGCTCACGACGGTTACGAGGAATTTTGTGGGCAAATTCGGCGAGGAGGGATTTCGCACATTTGCTGCTTCCCGTCGACGTGTCGACCTATCTAGACAGCCTCTTCTCGTGTTGACAGTTTTTACCATGATGGCCTGGAGACCTTGCTCCAGCTTCAGAATAGTTCATAGGTTTCACCAGAACACTTGTAAACCGAGAACTAGTGAAGCAACGAAAAGTACAACATGCCACGTTCCCGCCCCCTCTGTTCGTGGCCGCCGGCCCCTGGCTTCCACCCGCACGACAGTGGCCATCCGCTATTAATGGTCTTTGATGAGCTGCAGTTGCAAGAGCTAGGAGGCTCAACGACCGGAGCCCACACTTGATATGACGTTCCTACTTGTAAGTCGGGAGGATGACAGTGGCTGGCGTTTTACACACTGGCGCGGTTTCCGGTTCGAACATCCCGGTCGACTCACGCCGGGCCCCATCCATCCAACCATTCTACCACGAGGGCCGGGAACGCCTAAATGTTGGTACCAGATTCGTTGGAGCCACAAGATGTACAGTGGCTGGCCCCAGCAAGTCAATGTATCAGGCCGATCGCATTCATAACCCAGACGATGACTTGGAAATGGAAGTAGTATGTCGTGCGCATCCCCCGAAGGGGATTGTCGAGGCGAGGACTTTCTCCCGTTATCCCCTTTATCCTACCTCGCGTCGCGCCAGCCTGGGAACTCTTCTCTGTCCACCAAGTGATTTCTATCAGTTTTTCAAGTTTATCAATCTTCAGCTTATTTGTCAAGTGATATTTTCAGCTCAGATGCGGAAATTCTTTGGTGCAAAAGAAGAACACCACCTGAGCTCCTCTTGCACAACTGTCCAGTCCAATTCTTGCATGTTTTCACTCATTTAACGTGAGCAATACTATTCATGGCAAAGCCCTTCGGTTGTATGGCGTCCGTTTCGAGTAGCGTCCAGTATGACGAAAAACAAGCTATTAGTAAAGCGGCCGTGGTGGGCGTAACATTTGCAGCTGGACGCCATGCCTTTAGAGCTGGCACCCGCTGAAACTGCCGACTCTTTCCGTGTCTGTGGGTCTACGGAAACTCAGTCCCTTCAATGGCGTCAATTTCTGTTTTTCTCAGGGCTCTCATGCGACCACTCTAATCTTTCACGATTCCACCTTTTCAACGGCACCAAACATGTGGTTATCAAACCCGTTCTCTCCTTAATCTCCCTGGCTGCGCACGTTCGTCTCCTCTTCATGCTTTCGTAGTCGCAGTTCTTTCGTTTCTCGCGCACTGGCCTTTCGCAGCAGGACCGCCATCAAAAAGTTATAGTTGTTACCTAACCTGCCTGTGTCTCGTGTCAACAGATAGGAGAGCATGCGAGGTCGCGTCTCAAGAGTAGTGCCACCTGCATCCTCTAGCTTGACTACTTTTCAGGGCCCTGAACTATTACATCCGACCAAATTATTCCTTCATTTACAATACGTTCGAATGTATTAGAAAGAAAGGCAACATCAGGTTCTCTAAAACTAAAATTGCCACAATTACACTGGAAATACTATTAGAGAAATGTCATTTTTTTCAGATTTTCCGACCCATATGACTGGGAATTCGAGCATGTATTACAATCCTATACAGAAGATCACAAGGCTAAACTGAAAGTCATGTAAGACTAAATCATATTGTTCACTTGGAGCACATAAGGCACATTTTTCAAGAATCCTTTCTAGCTCACCGGATGGGAGTCTTGTCACGCCATCGACTGCTAGTCATCCAGCTTCAATAGGTTCACGCGGCCCTGTAAGGCTTTTTCCTGATTTCCATACGTATTTTCCCCTTAGTACCTCTGCTAAAAAGGAAAGATTTCAGGAAGCGGATATTAATCCATTTCCGGCCGAATTCTTCTCGACGAATCCACTTGGTTTCTAGTTAAAGCGCCAAAATCATGAAAGAATTAATTTTTCTTAAATATGCTCTCCTTACGTGATTGTGTCATAATCTGCTTGCAGCTTAGAGAAAGTTTAATGAGCAATGTTAATAATAATAATAAAGATCTGGAGAAATCCAAATTAAACTGTGTTAAAAGGCCTGGGGAAAGCGATCAAACAGCGTAAATGCAGCAAGGGTGCGCTCTGGGTACAGCATCGTTGTGCAAAACCCATGGGAAGGTCGCACTTGGCCGCTGTGAAGGGTGTGGAGGGGGGGGGGGGGGTCGTAAACGCAGGGTCGGTGAGCACCAAACAGCACAAAAGTGTCATCGCTAAGTTTGATGGAGCGGACGGAAAGCTGCAGAGACCCGGATGTAAGGAAGAATACACTCCAGTTCGCTGCGGACGGTTGGGCGTGTCAGGCAGTGTGAGTGTGTCACCCCGTCAAAGCCGTTCTCTGCCTTCTTGTTGAAGCGCGCATGCGACAAAAGTGGTAGAAAACGAGTAATACGAACGATATGATACAGTCATATCATTTGCTTGCTTCAACAGCTGGAGAACGGGTTTGGCCCCGCGCCAAACTTATCTCTCCTGACACGCCAACCGACCGCACCGATGTACACTAACACTAATCGTATCAAACACAATGATTTAGCAATATCAACCAGTTTAATAACCGAATTCGTACGTAGTAACTCGTAAGTGAATAAATAATACATCTCAAACAGATTATCGACCTTTCCAAATCCTAAACAGGCATCTGCTTGCATGGACAGAAATCACCTAATTAGTTTCCACCACCTCTGCATAGAAGCGCAACCCAGCCCGAACCAATCGATGATAACCAAATTATGCTTTGATTCAATTCATCGGGAATTTGTGTTTGAAGGCATACTGAATTCCTAGAATGAGCATCTTTACAATGGCACGGGGAGAGTCAGCTTTTGTGTGACTCAGAATGTGGCCCAAGGGTGGGACATCTAAAATATCTTTTAAACTAGCGGGTTTTCTGGAAAACTGTAGAGCTCTCGCAAAGAGGAAAGTCTGGGCTTCTGATGATGTCCTTAGTTTGCGGAAGATTGCTTTGGAAGTTATTCTCGTCTGAAGCATCAAAACCCGCTCGCGATTTACCACAAACGCGTCCGTAATCCACGCGAAATATTTTTTTACAAATGGGGAAGATTCAGATAGCGAGTAGGTAGAAAACGCAACAGTAGAGACATTTCTCCAACAAGCCGCCCCCAGTTTTCTAAGAGCCCACACCTAAAAAAGCTAACATCCCGGAAAAAGCCCCGCGATTTCCACCCGGCTAACAGATCTGCTCCACCACTAATTTGCTCGTTATAATTTGCTGATTTTGAGTCATGACGCGGCTGCAAACGCCTCCATATCCTTTCGTATCTAAATCCGTCCAGAAAGTGGGGGGGTCGTTACCAGGATCCTTTTTCCGCGGGGAGGGAGTAGGACAACGCCAATACACACTTCCCCCAGCGGGCAGGACGTGCCCTGGTGATAAGGTGATGACACTATTCTTATGATGAGAGGGACTTGAATCTATGGAGTACTTTTTCAGTCCTGGACGACGAACAGCTCTCACTTTATCTTCAGCACGTGTCCATGTCGCTACAGAGGACATCAAATGCACTTTATTCCAAGGTGAAACTGCTTACACTGTAAGGATAAGTAATACATTGAAGAAGGTGGCGGCTCAAGTTGACCACTGCATTTCATAGGGAAGCATTTTTTTTTTGTAATACAATACACTAACTGGAGGCTTTCTCTTGAGAATAGTGCCACGTTGCCAGCCTCGAAAGCAAGGGTTCCCAGAGAATTGATGGCCATGAAGGGATAACTATGGTCAGGGGCCACGGTTACTATTGTGCCCTCTTTATTTGCGCGCCTCTTCTTTTTCAGTGTCAGAAGGGAGGGCCACGCAAATGAAGAAAGTACAATTGTACAGTCTTGTTCGCTGCGGATGCACGGATTTACAGGAAACGGGCTTAGCCAGGCACCAGCACGTTTTTCGCCAGTTGCTATCGCTTGCCCGCTCCAAAGCACTGGTGTAGAGCGATTGGCGCCGCGCCAAACCGGCCCCCTGACATGCCCAGCATCCGCAGTGGACAAGACTATAGGCCATGCAGTCACCGTTGGCAGCGCGTGCTGCTGAGGGTTTTTTTTTTGTACGAAACATTTAGTAGGGAGAGACAGAATTAAGTGAACGAGTGCAAAGTGAAATTTCAAATGAAGGTAAGCGGAACAGTGCTTGCGTGTTTCGTTTAAGTAATGTGCATTGATTTGATATCTACTTAACAATCACACTTAAGTTGTATAAGAGAAGGTAAAATCCGCGTATAACATAGCCATGTAACATATAAAGATTAAATTAGCCGGAAGATTTCAGAATCCCAGTGCATTTCTAGCGAAAAATTCTTGGGGAAATGGATTGTTGTCGTCTATCAGCTGATATATCTGAAAAAGTAGACATTGCCTTTCAGACTACTTGTGAAGCGAGGCTATCAAAAAACGCTGATCACCATAGTTTCCGATTTTCTCGCTGTAACGGGAGCCATAGCACTGAAAGATTGCGATGGCTTTGCTCCTTCTGTACTGAAACATGATTTAATACTGGGCGGAGAAAACATATCCAAATTTTAGCGCTCTAATGGAACTCTGTGTTAACGCAGAAGGTTCGCTAAGTCACCATAACTATTAATGGAGACCAAGGTATGCGCTACGGGCTGAACTGCAGGTTGAGAGGATGGAAATGAACATAGCTACTCGCACGTAGCAAGCGGGTTGCGAGCTCTCAAAGTTCTCAATGCTTATGCAGTGCATCCTTGCCACGTAGGCAGAACCCCTCACTGATGATGCCGCGGGTCGCTCATTAGGGTTCTTCAGAGGTGTGGCGCCTACGTAGCTCGTCGCCGCGACCTACCTTTTTGCTCTCTTTCCGATATGATCGCGCGGGAAACCGCTGCCACCCTAGCGGCATCGTTCATGGCATCCCTCATTCTTCTTCCACCCTACTCCAGTGCGATCGACTTTTAACCTTCATCCGGAGTCAACTGCTCCATCGTTCAGTCGACTCTCAACTAACATTCCTCTGTAGTTCAACGGTGTGATTTGCCCACGGTATACTGCTACTCTTCATTATACCATCGGCAGGAACTTCTCTGCTATTCAACAACGATGTCGCTACCGGTGTGTTCGGCGGCAGCTATTGCGTGTGTGCCCTCAGAACATCTAATAGAATCTCTCTTGCTACGTTACTATTCGCAGATTCAACGGTGAGATATCATTCGTGTCCTCGAGTCCCATGTATGGTTTCTATTCTGAACGATTACTGATCCTCGCGACGGAACTGTGGGCTCTGTCGGCCCTCTTACTAGTCGTCTTACTAACAAACAGATCATGTTGTACTAGTAGAGTTTAAAAGTGACTAACTCGAGTTCTGTCGATATACAAGAAGAAGTTTTGTCTTCCGATGCTTACAGGTCATCTGGTTGAGGCAAGTTAGTTTAGTAGTGGTTCTTGTCTAGTAGCGCAGCTAAGGAAAGGAACGATACGGCTGCTAGATCCGTAGTTCAGGGGACTGCAGCGCGAAGGGGCTGTGGTACAGGTAGATTGTCCACTACCGATCAGCAGGCAGCCGGCGCCGCATACGCTATATGCCTTCCCGTTATCCTGCTCGCAGAGTCACCCCGACTCGCAGTAAATAGTGCAATGATCTCAGCAGCGCATTGGTAAACCCTTCGGTCTGGAATAGGAAGCGTCGGGGTGCAGTTTTCTTCAGTGCGCTATCAGGATGTCTTATATCGGATCTTCTTCTGCTCAGACCAGGCCTCCTCTTCAGCCACAGGAAACAGGTACAGATTTTAGGAGGATAAAAACACTGACTTCTACATCTCGCGCTACGATTCCTAGTGGAGGTAAATTACGTGACGCACTTCGAAAAGGGACTGATAAACGGCGAAGAAATTGTCTTTTCAAGTTAAGAATCAAAAATGAGAAAAGGAGTGATTTTTTACAGGGCATTCACTCACACTGTTGCAGACCAATTGCTTCTCTTGTTCTCAGCTGATTCTCGGAATTCTTCCGCCCTTCCCCGTATTTCCCAATCATATGGATCCGTGTACCTGTACTTTTATTTTTTTGTTGATAACTATTTGCACACTGATTTATTATAAACCCTTAATGAACAAGCTGCTCAAAGACGGAGCATTCGTCCACGCAAAATGCGGGAATTCGGCCTTGCCAAGTAGTCCAGTGCGTACAGAAAGTACATTATATAGATACAACTTGAGGTTACTGGAGCGCCATTGTAGATCTGTGAAAATGGAGCGAATTGGTTGAGCGCGTAGTCCGCCTTTGAGAACCTGTTGTCCCCCATGTATGCTTTCAAAGCATAGCACGAAATTTGATCAGTTCAACATGATCTCTTGCCTAAGGTTAAACTAATCTCATTGTTAAGGATAACGAAACGATCTCGAATAAGTAGCATAGATAATTGATGCAAATGGCATCAGGTGATATCGTTGCAGTCCAGCGGACGATCTCGGAAGATGTGGAAAAGCTCTCATTGACTTCCGATTTACTGAGCTGATTCCTTACGAACGCACCTCACTACTTGGCAGAAGACGTAGTGGGGCGGACTCCTCAATACCAAGCCTCTCACACGGCCGGGCGTAATCGACTGACGATATTACGACGTGTTCTGATTTGAATAACATTTAATTCCAATCCATCTTCCATCCGAGTCTCTCATCTTAGTTTTGTGAGATACAATTACTGCTTCTCAACCCCTCAACTTTTTTCTCCTTGAAGTGGATTTTTGTAAATGGTGGGCACTCTACCTCCGCTATATAAGTGAAATTAGTTCATTCTTTTGTGGATGCGGAGGTAATCCCCCACTTTGCTCGGTATTATTAAACACGACTTGTAGAAAGCAATCAAAAACTCGAAACAAAAATGAAGGCGCACGAGTGTAATCGAAGATAGCGGAGAGTTACATCCCCCTTCCCCAAAAATATTCTTACTTGAACCTTCCTGCCTTCATGACGTCAACCAGCAACTCATATAGAAGCAAGTAATCTGGACGCATATAGTAATTCAATGTGCTGAAAGATTTGTGGATAAGAAAGCGGTCTCCGAAAAACCATCTTGAGACCAACTTCCTATCCCGCGCTATGTATTTGAAAACATCACGCGAAACACGCGCGCGCACATCACGTACGCAACACCGCAGGCTGTATTGTACTGAGAGTCATCTATTACGGGAAGTCGAGTGGAGAGTCAGCGCTGGGTCGTAACTTTCACTCAGCTCCAGCCTATGTTAGGCAGGCGATTCGTTTATGGCTTTCGCGTCGCAAGCGAATGGTTGGGGATGGATATGGTGTCGCTCCAATTCCGCTCGCGCCGCTGACACAAACTGACTTCAGTGATAATGATTGTGGCAAGATGATGACGAGATCACCTTTTAGCCAGGACCCCCTTAGGGCTCTGTAGTAAATAAGGATTCAGAACAGCCGAGCTTTATTTCTTACCGAAATTTGAAATCCTACCTCAGGTGCTCCGCAAATTTGATCAATTGGACGGGACAGTTTTCCAAAACGACATCGATCTCCGTTCGACGCTTTATCTCATACACCTCTCTCTTGTCGCTTAATTATTCGCTTTAATAGACCGTAGTTTCACACATCTTGCATGCAAGCGCATTACAAGTTCAAGAGAGAAAAAAACACGAGTGCAAGTGATTGGCGAGGACAAGGGAATAATTGAAGACAGCTTGAACAGAGAAGAGTTAGGCCCGAATCTTGCACGGCTATAATAGGGCATATTGTTCTATTGGGTTGGCACATAAGTACTTTCGTTTTTTTTTCAACCGGAAATTTCGTTCCAAAGATGAAATGTTTTGCTAGCAAGCTTGATATCATCTGATAGGAACTAGAGTAGTGAATATCAAAACGGTTTGTGGTTGAGGGAACAATTTTGGTAGATTTCGAGCGGTTGAAAGTTTGAGCGAATGTTGGTGCGAAAATTAGCACCTTCGACAACTGCCTCTATTTACGTATAGTCGAGGTGCTAAAATCGCTTAAGCTGCTCCATACATTTGGAAAAGGTCGAGCTAGAAGCTTCCCACAATGGAATCTCCAATAGGCGCTTTGGAAAATTCTAAGGAATTTTTGGAAGTACAACCTTACACCTCGCGATATGAGGCAGCCACGTCTGTCACATGATTTTATATGTAATATTTGAATGTTTCGCTGATATGTTTTGCATGTTCTGATAGCAAATTTCGTGCTCTATAACACTGCTATAGAAATCTGTTCTCCAGAGGTGTTTGCTTTCTGTTAAGTTCAGGTTATCATTACGGAACGCGAAGTCGTTGAGAACTAGCGTTCCCGCTCACGATTGG